AGTTCCTCCGTGTATGGTGCAGCTGCTGCAGTTCAGCAGTTGTCCAAGAATGAGGTATAGGTTTAGGACAGATTGGGTGTCTGACTAGCTGCACTGGAGCATGACGGTTAGTAAGGTCAGCTAGTGATGTCAGGAAAGTTTCGGCTTGAAGATCAATAGTTGCATCGTTGTAATTGCCTGCCAGAAGTGCTCGGGCGTCCTCCTTGAACTTTCGGAAGTCGATTGCGGCAATACCAGGTTTTCTAATACTGCGATAGGCGTGCTTTTGAATGCGGTGCCAGCTGTGGAGATGGAGGTCAAACACTACGAGGTGATGGTCACTAAGGTCGTCCACGGCAGTGACTGAGGGCTGCTCATGGCAAAGCCCAGCTTCCAGTAGAACCAGGTCCAGGCACGTGTTCGATGGTAGCCGTGTTGGTACTGTGATGATATTGTGCAGACAGTGCTCTGCACAGAGTTGGTTGAGGTACTTGAGTTGAGGAGAGTGAGGCGGGATAGCATTCGTGTTAAAATCTCCCAGGATAATTCGCTTACTCTTTGGCACTGCCTGACTGTCCAATTGGGCACTCAGATAATCCCAAAAATCCACTCCAGTGCTGGGAGGCTTATACACGGTACTGACAATAAACTTCTCAGCTCTTGTGTCCTTTCCCTGACGGACTAAAATGTGGAGAGCTTCAAGCTCAGGGTGGCTACTAGCATGTACTACTGTTGCCTTCAGACTGGATGAAACATACAGACAGACACCACCACCATGAAGGGAATGGTCCTTCCTGTAAATACTGTATCCAGGGATATGGAGCATGTGGTCGCTGACACTGCCATCCAGATGAGTTTCATTGATGGATAATATATGGATCTCATTGTCATGCAGTATTTCGTGGATTTGCTGAATTTTATGGCGCAGGCTACGAACGTTCAAATGGGCAATTGTTAAGCTAGGGTTCCGAGGAATGTCCTATGGCTGAGAGCTCGATGCAGGAGCAGGTAGATTGTCGAGTGCTAGTGGGACACCCTTCTCATCAAGAATGACATCATACGGGAGTTGGCATTTGACATCCTTACTTCTCAGATGTTTGTTCTGTGGTAGTACTGTCTTCCTTTTTTGCAGCTGTTTTCGGGTAAGATCGTTGGAGAAGTACACAGGTGAGCCATCATCGAGTTTCAGGTCAAATCTCCTGCGATAAATTGCGCCTTTGATGGCATTATTCTGGAACTTGATCCGTATTGGACGCGATTGTGTGCCCGTAGTACGCGCCGTGCCAAGCCTTTCCGTGGAAGATAAGGCGGTTTGGTCGACCCTCAAGGCCTCAGGGCTCTCGAGCAGATTTCCTCTAGTTTTTCCCCGTCCATATCGGGGATTCCACGTACGATAGCGTACTGCTTCCGGTTTAGTCGCTCAGCTTCCTCTTGAATCAGAGCGGAAATATCAGGTGGAGCTAGTACTGTCGCTGTGGGTACGGGTGCGGGTACGGGACTGCCTTCAAGTGCAGCAAGTCGTTGTTCGAAAGATGACAGGGTCTTCTTCATCACGTCATACTCCTCCATGACCTTCTCCATCCTTGTCAGCACATCATCCATGAAACGATTGAGGGTCTCCTTACTGGCCGTCTGCTCGTTATGAATTTCCTTCAGCATATGAGAAATCCTACGCAGCTCGTCATCATTGCCCTGTCCTACCTGGGTCGCTAATCGTGGTGCCTGCGAGCGGAGTGTATCAGGCGGACTAACAGCTTTGGACTTGCCTCCACTGAGCCGAGCATGCAAAGATCCCGTCCCAACACTTGGACTATGGGATGAGGAGGTTGGCATGGTCTTCCAAAGCACTACGCAATCTACTTCAGTACTGATCCGCTAAATAACGTATACGGGCTAGAGGCTACCCTGAAAGATATCTGAAAAACGGCGGAGCACCAAAATTTGCATCCGCACACAACGCGTTAACGTAGTAGGTTTCCAAGCGGCACGGACTATCTGGTATGTCCAACGTAGGTTGCAGCATGAAAATAACTTCTTCTAAAATAATATTACCATACTACCATGTCATTGGTAGTGTTATTTAGTCAAGAAGGGAAGAATGGTCAGATTTCCTAAAAATGCTATTTTCGGAATTGGCCTAAAAATACCATATTTTGATACCTATATTGCTTCGTAGAGGCCTAAAGTGCCTGGTGACACCATCAAAACTGTCCATTATTGGTTTCCTTGGGGCTCAAGGATCACAAAAAGCCACAAAAAGGATATTACCATTGCATTGTTCGTGATTTCCTGGCTGCACGAGGTCTCTGCCTCAATCCGGACAAGACTCAGTTCATAATCTTCAGGTCGAAGTCCACACCTTTGACCCCTGATGTCAGCCTTCAACTGAACAACACCTCAATTGCCCCTTTGCCTGAAGTGAACTGTATCTTGGAATCGTTTTGGATGAACACCTTACTTTTGGTGCCCACATCGCCCACCTAGAGCGCAAGATTGGAAACAAGATCGCTGTGTTCAGGAAGATACGACACCAACTCACGGAGCACGCCAAGAAAACATTCTACATATCGTCCATCCAATCAGTTCTCGAGTATGGGTCGAATGCGTTTGCTCATTGCCTTCGTGAGGGTCAATATGAGCGCCTGGTTCGCTTGAGTAGACGTGTCTTGCGCACGGTGTTCAAACTCACTCTCTTCAACAGCATCAGTGCACTACAAAAACGCAACCATTTACTCCCACTGGCCGCTCGGCATCAGCTCAGACTTTTTGTTCTTATTTTTCGTTCACTAAAATAATGATCTAGCAAGCCCCCTAATCTCTAGTTGTTTTTCGTTGCGCAGTGCATCGTCACACACAAACTCCCGCACACGCTCTCAAGTTTCTAAAGCCCTTACTCTTCCCGCTGCTTTAATTTAAATCGGTATGGTCTTTTTTCTCTTACTTCCTCCGTATACAAAAACTTCGTGACTTTTTTTGAAGGCTGCGCATAGCTCTGGAATTGTTCCGTTTGACTTGGAATAACACTCGTGGCATTGTCTAACCTGTTTACAAGCTATACACAAAGAAAAAAAGCAACTCAGACGAATGAGATTGAGTTTATTCAGAGTCTTCGTCGCTCCTGTCATTGTCACCTGACAATGCTGAATCCGCATCGCCAAAAGTCGCTGCTTCCGCTCGCATTTCGTTCAGATTCCTTTCAGCTGCAATGATGATCCGACGCGGTACTTTGGCTAGCGTACCCTTCATTTCCAGAGCTGTGTACGAATCGGTGTCGACTATATTCAGTCGTTCCAACCCGCGACCTCCATTATGTCGTGAAACGAGTCGCTCAAGCACATCCACACGCTTCGCATTTTCTCGGTAGGAGAATCCTCCCAGCATTCTACAACGGCTTCGAAGAGGTCCCTGCGATTCCGCTAGGCCACAACGGAGACGTCTGACTGGAGTGGAGAGAGGCGAAGAAAGCCAGGTCGTCGACATTCCGATCCGGAGTGTGCGCTGGTTGCACGACGACTGAAATGTTTCATCTTTCCGTGCGAGCGGAACCGATTTATGTTTTCACGCTGCGTATGGGGCCGTGCACCGCAAGTAGATCTACGAGCCTGGCCAGTTTCAGGGCAGTGAGTGCCGCGTGAGTCGTGACTCCGTGCTCCAGTCCAGGCGCGAGCTCCACTTCGTCACGGTGTCAGTTTCGAGCAAGCAAGTGTTAGTTTTTTGTCATTTGACTCGTGAGTTCCTGTCGGCAACGTCCTCACACGCATGGCTTCCGTGGAGAATCTGTTCGAGATCAACCAAACCTACCTCAACATGAATGTGGGTTGTCCATGACAGCCTTTGGCGCGGTTCGTTGAGCAGGTTCTTGCTTAAAAACACCGTTGAAAAAAGTCACGAAGTTTTTGTATACGGAGGAAGTAGTTTTCTAGGCTCAGATCGTTGGAACTCCCTACCTGCTGACATTCGCCTTTGCACATCTGTTTCTCGCTTCCGTTACCTTGTATTGGCACATTTAGGGTACCCTGTAAGAAGGCCTTAGGCCTGTGGGGATTGCCCTGTCAAAAATTTAATAATAATAATAATACGCACTCTTCGGACAGTGAAGCACACCACTTGACTAATAATAATAATAATAATAATAATAATAATAATAATAATAATAACAATAATTATGTCCATAGACAAAATGTTGCAGGCTGAACCATTTGACAATTCAGCACTCGATGGAAATTTCGGTACCCGTAATTTCAAAAAAGTGGCTCACCAAAGGCAAAACCAAGACACGGTCTATCTTGTGTACCCAAGATACCTCCAAATGTTTTTCTTAAACATATGATGAATAAAATGCTGGGTATTCTCCATCCAGGATGCTTCTTTGGGTCAAAAACCCAAATATTTAACCATTTTTTTGCCTAAAATCAAGAAATTGTACACACACTAAAATACACCAGAATACCTCTTATATGCCTGGTGACCCTATCTAAAAACTATACCGAAGAGGAGACATCACTCCACCATTCTATGCATAAAAAACAGGGTGTCCATGGACCTTTTATTTTTACTTCTTTAGGTGGGAGCCTCCCTAAACCGAAGACTTTCACAAAAGGATGCAGAGCTCTCAAAACTGCATCTACATGTATGCCTCTGTCATGCATCGGCCTTATTGAGCACCGCCAGATGTACTAAAGTGCTCGCTTTGGGTCCCAGAACGGACAAGTTGGTGGCACACTGGGCTAGGCTGGCTCGAAATAGCAAGGCAGGACAGTTTGGGGTTGAGGAAACTTTGATGTCGCCCGTCGGTATCCCGGTAAATCGTATATAGGTATGCGTACGCGTCACATTCGTACCTCACTTTTGGCCTCTACAAATCTGGATACGATGGGCGCGGGATGAACCAAATTTGGACGCACTCCATGATTGCTGCCCATTCGATCGTGTCAGAGTTTTAATTATTTTGACTATGCCAAAAGCGTGGGTAGTGCGATTTGTATAAGTAGCAGAAAAGAAGCTTAGTCGAAAACAGAATAGCCTAGAGCTGCAACAAACTTTGTTCTGCTCCAACAGCTAGCTGCGATCGACATACTGGAATCGTTTTCTCTTCGCGTGAAGCAGTACAAGTTTTGGAGTTGCTGCGCGGGACGGAGCAAGGTATGTGGATCTTTTTTTCTTCTGTTTAGGATCTTGTTGTTTCTCTCGTGGCTGGGGAAACCCTCATTCATTCCTCTTCCACGATTGGTCATTTCCTCATCTTTACTAGCTATCGGAGATGTGCAAGTATTACACACATAGGACTGTAGCGCAAGTGGTAGAGTTAAGTTAAAACTTCAGTGATCCGTAAAATGAAACGAACAACGATAGCGACCTAGACTATACTAAGGGTGCGTTCTTATTCTCTAGCTTCTAGGAGAAGGAGAAAAGAGAAGTCGAAGAAACTGGGATAACTCAAGAACGGGCCTCGAAGATTTCGGAGATATTTTGCACAAGTGAAGCAATATGAAGTGCCAAAGGGGCCGCGATCTTGAGTTATGAACGTAGTATGCACATGTTATTATTATTATTACGAAGTCTGAAGAAAATGTTGAACGGCCTCTGCTGGGATGACGACTACACCATAGGTCAGTGGTTAGAGCATCGCTGGCTACAAGCGAGTGTCCCTGGTTCGAGTCCTGGTGTTGACAGTCAATTTTTCTTCAGACTTTTCCCGTTTGTCTTTTTCCCTGAAACCAGTTAGTATTAGTATTATTATTATTATTATTATTATTAAGGATCAGTTGGGGAAGTGAACTGCCTGAAAAGAGAAAAAATCGCCAGACCCACCAGGACTGGAACCTGGGACCTTGCTTGTCATGAGCAATGCTCTAACCACTGAGCTATGGGACTAGGCTGAACCTAGAAGACAGGTTCGAGTCCTGGTGTGTCTGGCGATTTTTTCTCTTTTCAGGCAGTTCACTTCCTCAACTGATCCTTTGTATTTGAAGCTCTCCCAATCCGTTCAAAAATTATTATTATTATCATTTTGAAACTCGGGTATTGAGCCAATAATAAAAGTAGAAAGGAAAAGGACATATGGAAACGAGTTAAGAGTAACTCTCCACCACTGTAACTAGATACTATATACAGTCAGAAAGTGCAACAACTAGGCACAAAACTGACAGAGTACTGAGACATCATTTTGTTTTCGTTTTCGCAAAACTTCCCATTTCTTTACTTTTTAATGCGATTAATAGTATAAGTGAAGCGGACATTACAAAATGATGAATGAGAATACATGTATCTAAAATGGTTGTTCCTAATCGATTTTCATGAGACTATCGTCAGGGAAAATCGTCTCACAATAGAGGCGGCTTCACTTATACTATTAATCGCATTAATAAAGTTATTGTCTCCTCGTCGCCTTTTCATTCTTTACTTATCTTTGATATTTATGACCCACCCAAGTTGGGTGGTGTGCTGCTTTGCTGCTTCGAATTGTAGTTAGACCGCTTTGTCAAATATCGTACTGGTCTCGTCATCGTCCAGTAACAATCGACATTCTTTGTTCCGTTGGGACTGTAGCTTTTGCTCGTTTTCGTCGCGCTTGCCTTCCCCTCTTTGGTCTTTCCGTAACCTTGAACCTTCCAACTTGGAAGGCTGTCGGTTAACGCTACGGAGATGTGTTGAAGCTAGGTGTCAGGACGTCGAATGTCTCAGTACTCTGTCAGTTTTGTGCCTAGTTATTGCACTTTCTGACGGTATAAAGTATCGTGTTACAGTGATGGAGAGTTACTCTTAACTCGTATCCATAATGTCTTTTTCCTTTCTACAATTATTTTGTTTGTTCCCGTTGGCATCAGCCTGCATCAAGCAGGTATATAGCCTTCGCTTAACCCTTTCCATGCCATGGACGCTTATACGCGTTTCTTTAGTACATAGCCAGCAATCGCATGTCATCACGTACATTGAAAATCAACATAATTTTTCGAATGGACCTTTTTTTCAGGATCACTTTTCAACGAGGACGAAGCAAAGTCGGCCGAACGAAGCCTAGAGGAAGAAAATCACCCTCTCCACTTCACCATCACGATACTGACATAGATACGAGATGAAACAACTAAAAAATCCACAAGAAAACTGTACGACGATCATCGCGCTGACTTTGGTCTGAGAATTTCTATCACGATCAAAAATGTACGAGGAGCACTCAAAAATAAGCAACAGACGTACCTCTATCGCTCTCTACTCCTTTTTCAAGGCACAAAAGTCGACTCTCCACTTTCAAACCAGGAACCAGACATACCAGTGGTCCTTTTCAGCTGCTCCACGAGCGCAGGAAATGTTCACCAAGGGGCGCAGAGCAGCATCCATTCCAGAAAAAGAGCTAAAATACGAGTGAGACGGCATGACTGAGTACATGATGAGTACATGTATGAGTACATGCAGAAAATAGTCAATTTCAGCGTTTCTTCTCCAAACAGCAACTATAGTCTGTTTCAAAAAGATTTACAATCAGGTTTGGGTCTTAAAAAGTATGAAGATAAGGGAAATTTGGACAACAAAGTACATAGAATGGCTTGTTAGGACACGGCAAATTGTTCTGTGAATGTTTCGGAACAATTGGACCAACCGTTAAGGAGTTAGAATTTCGGCCAGGTTTCCGGCCTTTTCCCATGGGTTACAATTTGCCCAGGAAGCCAGTATCGATTTTTTATCAAAACCCACGATTTATCCATTCCTTTTTGGCCTTGTGGTTATGAATGCTGTCTGCTGACCATGAAGTTGTGAGTTCAAATCCCAACCTATCCTCAAGTCAAACTTTTTTTCATTGTTTTGGTGATCAAGCTGGTACAAGACAAAGAAGATGGCTGCACCAAACGACTTGTTGTTGGAGGTCGCGCTTCCTGCCGAACTGACTGACACTTGACTGGCTCACGCCATGTGAACACACCCACAACATGTAACACTGCAATGGTGTGAGTGAATATGGAAGTCATCGCGCTGTAGCCTTTTGAGATTTATTTTTAGTATTTCAAGATCGCCAATTTATTTGAATTTAGCAGTCAACGCCGTCTTCTATCAGCGTTCACAAGCGTCTGTTTTTCTCAAAATGTCGTCGAAGTCACACGGATAGCTTTGCCAAGTCATGACCTTGGGAATGAGTCCGTGTCGATGTCGTTTTCGTCACACGGTGAGTAAATTGCATCGCAGCTCAAAGAAACTATTTTGGTCACAAAACGGATTGGGACACATGCCGCTCGTCAACACTTTCGTTTCGACATGTCCTCTCTGACTCCATTATCGATACGAGGAAGAACTCGTTTGTTGTAAACCAGACGTACGTCCATGACTGTGTCAACGTGAGTGAGTTGTCATTTTCCCTGCTTTCGCGCGGAATATTTCTTCGAGTTCACAGTGAGTTTTTCCAGGCAGCGCTCGAGCGCTCATACGGTAAGACGCCAAACTCCGCGGGCGATCGCCAGGGTTGTAAATCTTTTTGAAACGGACTGTAGCTTCGACTAGAAACAAAGATTACACCAAAGGATCAAACAACAACCATTTTCTGCAGTTTTTTTGCAGATGGCTTCCTTGTGCTTGGCCCAGCACCCCAAAAATCACACCTCGGAGGAGTACAACAATTTCAACTCTCAGATGTCCTCGATTGCTGGCCATGTGAGCCGATTGGCCATGGACGCGTTTACGCGTTCTGCCTACACTGTACAATGTACACTGTACAGTACATGTGTATCCCGCGCTATAGACGAGTGTACAAACTGTCATAACTCCGTCAAAATATCTCGGACTGCTAAGGTTGAGACACCGCTGGAAAGGTCTTGAGCTCAGCTTTCCAGGGATATAACGTTCTTTGCGATACGACAAGGTATGACCGAGCGGCGATAAATGGACCGTATGCGTGTTAAAACAAAATGGCGTCACGATTTATTGAAAGTGGTATAGTTGGTGGAACGAGTGTTCGAAACCATTTGAACTTCATACTGTTGGTCTTCTTATTGACATGCTCTCTTTCTATCGTCCTTAGCTTTTGTTTGTTGTGAGCTGTTTTGGCTTTCTCCTATACCTCTGGGGGATGCCAAGTGATGGTTTTGATAGGCTGGTGATGGCTGTGAGCGAGAGTTTGCCGATCGGCATCGTCCTCGCTATAGCGATGAAAATACTAGTTACTGCGCACCTGGCAGATATCACAACACGTCGGAGCGTCCAGGAGCAAAAGAATCTTGGGTTTTCACTGGAATCTAGTTCCTCCAGGATCGTGTAGCCCACCGTCGGTGAATGGCCATCCAGAAAGGTCGAACCTGGTCTTCTGCAGCATCTCAGTCCTGCGAGGCACACTGAATACGCCTGTCATGTATTGTACAAATAAAAATCACGAAGTAGTGGATTCTATAGTGATGAGTCTATCCTGTATGCTGCAAAAGACACAGGAAATGTGACTGGTGTCTGTACACTGGACGCCAATATCCCAGTCTTCTCCTGCAGGATCTGTTTGGCATTGACATACCGGTATGCCATGGTTCAACATTGGTCTGGTTTGGAAGCTATCTGCCTGGGTGGATGTAGCAGGTTTGCATTGGCTCGTCGTCCAGTCCGGCATTTTCTTGTACTGTGAGTACCGGCAGGGTTTGAGAGGTTGATCATGCTGTGAACACATCTCTACTGCCTGTCTCGTCCTGGAAGTGCCGTCTCGCCGCTTCCTTGCTCTACATTCGTGCTTATTTCGCTTTTTTTCGTGGTGCAGCTCAAAACCTGCCCGAACAACTGTGAGCTCGCAACATGGTATGGACAAATTGCGCGACTGATGCTGGATGATTAAAACCGGGATAGTCGAGTAAGCAAGTTTACTCCCTGGGCCATGGCAAGATCTGTTCAGCGCGGGCTATTCCAACCTCCAAGTGCATAGTCACCGATCGATCCATGCGATGGTGGTTGACCTACAAAGAGCCAAGGTCTATGAGTACTACTAGTGGATGCTGTCTACATGCAGTCAACAAAATCAAAGTACCTCAGTATGCCCCAGAATAGGGCATGTGCATCTACAGCATGACACAACAGGGGTTCTGGCGGCACATGTGAAACAAGCAGTAGCTACTAGTGCCAGCTACCTATTAGAGGCTAGCCGCTACAGTCTGTCACTGGAGATAATTATTATGTTCACTGTTTGGACTGAGCACAATCAATGATGCCCAATCAATCGGCCCAATGTGTGTTCTGTTCCACAAAATTACAACGTCCCATCGCATCAACCCTACTACATGCACATGTCGTCACTCTAGCATGACTTGTGTTATTATTATTTATTTTGATTCGCACGATAAATAGAGCACAATAAACGTGAACTTGACCGAAGGAGAAAGGCCACTGCAGGTAGAGGAACACATCGAGGTACAGGTACCGGCATCAATACAGTATCAGAGAGAAACAAACAAAAATGAGAGGCATGCAGAAAAAACTCTCTTAAGCCCAAGTCTGAAAGAGGAAGTGGTTGATGAGGGATGAATGCACTATCCACACTCATCTACACTGTTCGTGGAAATGCACACATAAAATACAATAATATACAACACAGCATGCACAGAACCGGACAATTTCATGTTTACACATGCAAGCACAGACTTGAACGGTAGTACCAAAAGCCGATACAGACAATATCCCCATACACACAGACACACACATACACACAATGTCCCATGTATGCGCCTGTGGCGAGAAAAGAACGCAAATCTACAAATGCACTGGATGTGAACCCACATATTTTCTCTTATAGCAACGATAGCGGATCTGATTCTGAATGAAACACACACATACACACACACACACACAATACAATAGTACCCATCCGCAGATGATGGCCGATCCTGAAAGGACAGGCAGTGTTTCAGTCATGGGAAACAGAACTTCGAGTGGCGAGTGAGGTATACACACACAAACACATGTGCGCGCGCGGGCACACACTAAAGTATGCAGAAAGAGAATCAACATTGTAGTATTCATTGGTTGGGGAATGGAAAGGAAAATAAAACATTGCAGTAGGTTATTGTTGTATGGACACTATGAGCACAACAGAAAGGTAAGCAACTTGCTTTGAAGCAAAGAAAGTTATTATTCCGTGGATCTCCGAAGGAAAGAACATTCCAGAATGCTGCACTGGCAACAGGCAGCCTGCATGTGCGTGGCCCCTGCAGTCGGTCCAGCTGCCGGCCTTGCAGTGCTGGAAAGAATGTGCAGTAGAGTATGTCACGTCGTATCGCAGCCTGGACAAATAGGCGCTGGGAAGTCCTAGTTATGTGCTCACCTACACCACGATGCACCAATCTGTTGAGCTATTTTGGCCACAACTTTGTCCTCTTGAGACTCCCATGGGCTGAGCCTATTGTTCAGGGCTGCACCAAGGTGACCGGCAATGACCGTTGATGGCAATGCAATCCATGACACACAGTCACTAGGGCATCGTTAACATGGTGCTGAGGCTGGATCGATAAAGTCTGCCTTTAGGCTGGGTTTACAACGAGGCCACTGTCTTGAAGCTAGTCTGTCAGCCTGGTCACCGCCATTGACGAACCAGTCGCCACCGTCAGCAGTGGCGGTAGGTTGTGACAAGTGTGGTGCAATATTGTCGGCAAATTCAGTACTCGGGATAAGATGAGTGACAAAGGGAACGTTGTGTTTGTATAATATTGAAGTGAACAGTGATGATCACAAACCCTGCGCGTACTCCACCATGAGTTACAAGAAAATCCCGGACTGGACGGCAAGCAAACGCCAACCTGCTACATCCAACCAGGCAGATACTATTACGATAGCTGCCACACCAGGTCAATGTCGACCCACTGCATAATGTCAATGTCAAACAAATCCTGCAGGAGAAGACTGGGGTGTTGGCGTCCAGTGTACAGACACCAGTCACATTTCCTGTGTCTATTGCAGCATACAGGCTGAGACTCATCACTATAATACTTCGTGATTTTTATTTGTACAATACATGACAGGCGTATTCAGTCTGCCTCGCAGGACTGCGAGATGCTGCAGAAGACCAGGTTCGACCTTTCTGGACGGCCATTCACCGACGGTGGGCTACAGGATGCTAGAGGAACTAGATTCCAGTGAAAACCCAAGATTCCTTTTCTCCTGGATGCTCCAACGTGTTGTGATATCTGCCAGGTGCACAGTAACTAGTATTTTCATCGCAGTATTGCGAGGACGACGCCGATCGGCAAACTCTCGCTCACAGCCATCACCAGCCTATCACAACCATCACTTGGCATCCCCCAGAGGTATAGGAGAAAGCTAAAACAGCTCGCAACAAACAAAAGCTAAGGACGATGGAAAGAGAGCGTGTCAAAAAGAAGACGAACGGTATGAAGTTCAAATGGTTTTGAACACTGGAAAACATGCTGGCATGGAAAGGGTTAAGCTGCCCTAAAAAAGAAAGTTCATCCTAAGAGAGAGGACTAGAGGAAAGATAACGATAAAGAGATATAGAATACAAAGAAATCCAATGAGTTAAACATACAATTCAAAACAAGAAAGAAAGAAAAACAGAGCAGAAGCTGCTAATCGGAGTTACGAATGCGCTGGTACCGATTGATCCATCAATCGACAAAGGGGACTAATCCGTTAATATTGCGGAGTAGAAACTGATTGTAGCTGCAGGTCTCCAGGCCAGGGCCAGCATCTTGCCGAATCTGGATAGGTCTCTGCAGCATTTGATGTGGTAATTATCATATTATTAAATTGTTGATAAAATTGTTAGAGTATCTAGAGTATCTAGTGTCTAGAGCATCTCAGTAGTATCTAGAATATCTAGTGTGTTCGAGTATCATGTGCGTCTGCGAAAAGGGAAATGCATACACTCATGATCAACACGTGGCTTCTAGCCGTAGTTCGCATGCGCTGATCCCAAACCGCGGGAATATCCAAGTTTCAACCACCTCTGAAGCTTGGAGACCTTGGAGAGCTTTGGAGAGCCTCCTAAAAGTCGGAGAACATATCAGAACAGCTCTCTCACTTTTCGGAGAGTCTCCAACTTTTCCGAGAGGATTTAAGAATGCATACGTACTGTGTTGAGTGTCTGAGCGTTTCTTCGTAGGTGTTGCTTGCTTACATGTAGTTTGTCTCCTACAACCATGTGTCGACATTGTTAGTGCTTACGTTTGGTGATTTTCGTTGCCGCGTGATCGCCAACTGCCTCTACTTGCCATCGTTTTAGATTAGGTTTCAGTTCCGGTAATGGCAACACAGGATCGAGTCTTTCTGCAGATTCTTGGCATTAAGTTGGCGTTTTGATCATTTTTTTGGTATTGAGATATTGTGTCATATGTAAGCCCATTTGCTTTGCCCCTAGAAGAAGCTTTCCAGACAACACGTACAGTAAAATCTAGTGTTAGTGACCTCTGTTTTAGCGACCACCTGCGCTTAACGACCGTTTTTCCGTGCACCGACAGTTCTACACAGACACAGTGGTGCCTTGTTCTAAAGACCACCTGGCTTTAGCGACCGCTTTTACTTGCACCGTTGGTTGGTACCTTAAACCAGGTTTTAGTATACAATAAAGCGTACAGTTATATACAATGATACGTACAATAGAGAGTTTCCGCATAACGTAATGAAGTTAGTAAAAAACGTAGTCGATTTTCGGAAAGTCTTACGTAAACTGCACGTGCATCCGTATTCCGCCATACGGAGTTCTCACGTCACGTGGCTGCTCACAGCAACTCCGCACCCTGCAGTGTACGACCGGATCGACCTAGGGAGAGACTCATAAATTTGTACCACAATCCACTTACGGAGCACCTACGTTATCAGAGCCCTATCTGCATACCCTACGTAGACAACTTTCCGTAAAGTGGAGTGCAAACTCGCGAATTCATGGGTTCTGCCCCCGACTAATGTAAGGCTGCTCAACTTTACGTAGTGCGGAACCTCTCTAGTTATCGTGGGTGGGCGCTGCGTGACAGTTGACAATGTGAAAATTTGAAGATGACCACTGTTACGCAGTGTTGCCACTGTCCCATCCTGTTGTCAAGTGTGCTGGTTCATGCCCTTGTTATACTATTCAGCACAATGGTGTACCATAAGTGCAATTTGATAACAGAATCTCATCTTTTTGCTATAGTCTCTCACCTTAATTCACACATTTTTTCAGACACATCTATTTTTGTGTGCGTGTGTGAGTGTGGGTGGCATTCAGAGTGTGAGCTTGTGTGAGCGCGAGTGTTGGTGCAAGTGTGAGTATGAGTGTGTGCGTCTGTGTGTTTTGGTGTGTGCGTGCGTGCGTGCGTGTGTGTGTGTGTGTGTGTGTGTGTGTAGGTGTAGATGTGTGCATGTGTATGTGTATGTGTGTATGTATGTGTGTGTGTGTGTGTGTGTTTATGGTCACACCCGTCTTTCTTCTCTTTCTCAGACTCTTCCTGACTTTTCTTTCATTCTCCTGGGTGGTTACCAACAGCCAGTGCATGCCGCAGTATGTGGCGTGATGTGTGTGAGGGAAAAACAACACCAACCCCCCCCCCCCCCCCAACAGTAGGGATTCACTGGCCAGAAAAAGCCACTTCATAGCTGTGTGGTGTAGACCAGGCTGAATAGTGGTGGTCAATTCTTCAGCCTTGCAAGCTGTTGAATGGTGAAATCCCAGCACAAGCTGCTATGGCAACTTGACTTCAACTGACTTTCAACTCTGAAGTGAATCGTGTACTAGTGCTGCTGAACATGTCTCCGTCGGAAGCTGAGAAACTTGACGCTTAACTTTGGGCCAATATGTGTTGTCCTGTACCAACTGCAGGAAAAGCCACCATTATGGACAGGAAACTCATGCTTCTCTTCCTGGTCGCAATCGCTGTGGTATATCCTAGAAGTGGCGGTGAGTCAATTTTTTCCCGGTTTTTTGCACTTTTTTTAAGACGAACGTTTAACTCGATGCCCTGAGTGTAACTGTTGCATGGTGCAGCCATGTAGCCTCGAGAGGGTGTTTGTTAAGACATGTATTACCCGACATTCCACCAGGTGTGTCTATATCACCATATGAGTCGGGCATATTTTCTTTAATAATGGGAAAGTGTTTACTCCCCATGTTGGGAGTCCCGCTTCAAATTTCAGTTGCCCCCACTGTAGATGAGTTTGATTTGTCAACGGATTCTTGAAGCTACATGTCGTCCCACCAGCCCTTTGCGGAATCCATTAAATCTCGTTTATGGCTCTGTGTTTCCTGCAGAATGCAATAGTGAAGTGCAGAGTTTGGAAAGGAAGAAACGTGACACTGCTGCGGGTGGGTACCCTACTGCCTGCTGTTGAATTGTCATGCTAAGAATTGAACGTTTTCCGCGTCGTCCAGCATCTGCGCAATACTTCCATCTTGTGTCAGAGCACCGAGATACGCTATACAAGACATTATCACTGCCTTAGCATTGACTCACATCGATTTTTGCTATACCGAAGCAGTCAAATATTCCTGCATATTTCACTCCCCAGGGCTGCATTGACTACTTATAGTTGCCTCCTTTTTAGGGATTGAACACATGCTTTGGTTAGCCGTGGTACATTTAATATTGACCTCGTACTTGGTCAGTATAGGAAATTAAAGTTGTGTGGACCCTGGCTAGCGCCAGACGTTACTGAAGTAGCGTCTTCTGCATAGCTACGGGAATAAAAACCTAGTAAAAGACCTCGGCTTCGCCTCAGTATTTCACTCGTCTTTTATTTCCCATATTGATGCATATGGCAATCTTCCATTCGCTCCTACATTCGCCAGGGACACAAAGTAGGGTATGGGCATAGCTTGGAACATATAGCTGCGTACTCCAGTGGCTAGCCACTCTTGAAACTGATAATTTATGGTATGAGAGTGACTCTGGTCTACTAGCTCCGTTGGATGCATGTGCCACAGACGCAAAGCCGAGTCTGTTGTTGGTTAGTTTATGGAGAGCTTGGCCTGCTTGACATCCCACAGATTTCTGCTATCCCCGTTCCTCTCTCTGCTTAGGCTCCAGTGGACTTTCTAATTTGTGTGCATGCTTTTCAGTGGCGAAGTGTCTTGTACTGTGCACCCTCCCCCCCCCCCCCTCCCCCTCACCATGCAAGCGTGATGAATTTCCATAGCACAGTTGGAACGGATTTGGTCTACATTAAACAGTATTCTTTTTCTCCAATTCTGTCGTCCCTCTCTAATCCGGCACCTTTTGCAACGACATTTTCTGCTGGATAAACAAGTGCCGGATTAGAGAGGGACGACTGTACCAAACAAAGCCTCACTAGCAATAAGGGAAAGAGGCTCGTATCCTTGCTGTGGACATCGCAGGAGCGTTTGATCGTGTCTCGCATGTCGGCCTCCTCCACAAGGTACGTAGCCTAGGCATAGATGGTCCGCTTCAGAGATGGCTGGCGTCGTACCTGGACACCCGTTCCCTACAGTGCCTCGTTGGAGGGCGGACATCATCTAGGTATACGACCTCCGCTGGAGTCCCCCAGGGAAGCATCCTTGGACCAACGCTTTTCCTGGCCTACGTCAACGACGCGCCAGATGTTCTCGCTGACGGCGCCAGCTTGGAAGCCTATGCTGATGATACAACTTTGTACAGCTTAGTCACCTCCCAGCAGACCCCAACAGTCGCCGCGCAGTCACTGCAGGTGTCCGTTGACCGACTGCACGAGTGGGGTCGTACATGGAAAGTGATGTTTGAACCGACCAAATCCCAGGGCATGACAGCCACCCTCAGACGCACCGGCTTAGATCTCCCCCCACTCCTGTTTGGTGGCACACTGGTGCCCGAGACAACCACCATCACCCTCCTTGGTGTGAAGGTGGACGCCAAGTTGACCTTCAGCGATCACCTACGCTCCGTAGCCACCCGTGCACGCCAACGGCTTGGGGTCCCAAACAGAGCCGCCCACATACTCACCCCCGCCGCCCGGACGACCGTATACAAGGCGTTCGTACGACCAGTCATGGAGTATGCGCCTCTTGTATGGATGGGAGCTGCGCAGAGTCACCTCCAGCGTCTGAACAATGTTCAGCGCCGCGCGCTTCATGCTATCGGCCCTGGGGCACACCTACCCAGCCTTGCCATCCGCTGCACTGTTGCCTCGCTTGCCTGCCTGTACAAGCTGCACTACTTGCCTGGTCCTCCGCAGCTGCTCTCTGTGTTGCCACCGCGCCACACCATCTCTACCAACCCCAGAACTCGCAGCGAGCACGGTGCTGTCAGTGGCCATGACCACCAGCTCCAACACCAGCTGCCTGCATCTGCCCCGCTGGCACTGAAGCGCTCGTTCCCACACTGCAGCATCAGCGATTGGAACTCCCTCCCTGCCGCTCTCCTATCCCAGCCTCCCCACAGCAAGAGAATGCAATCATTCAAAACGAATGTTTACCGCCATCTTCGCAGCACAAACTGGCTCTGGGCAGTCGATTCCCTATGAATAGTATGACGCTAAGACAGTTTCTCCCCCACAATCGCTCGTGTTAAGCCTTGGGTTTTTGCATCTTTCTCACCTGTACAGCTCTATCTTCTTCTTTTTTCATTGTTTTTGGTGCGTGTTTTTTGGCCGTGACGCCGAGACCTCAGGTCGGCAGAGTCATCAATGCCCCACCATCACTGCTGCGTCTCGGTGCAGCGCCTGCTCATTAGTTGTCACGTTTGTCCTAGTCTCCGTACCATTGTCTTTCCTTATTCTTTCCGAGCTGGTTATGTGAACGTAGTAAAAAAAAAAAAAAAAAAAAAAAGTACAAGAGAATAATTCTGGACAACAAATTGAAGGTGGTTGCTAGGGGGGGGGGGGGTACGAGCAGGGCAGAGGCGGTATGCTGATGTGATTGGCGAGGTACATCCGACCATGGCCTCAATGCAGAGAGTTTCAATTGTACTTGTGTGCCTGTGGTTGGGAGGGGTGGGGTGGGAAGGGGCAGGGTAGGGCGATGTGCCGATGTGATTGGCGGGGTACATCCGACCAGTGACCTCAATTCAGAGAGTTTGAATTGTACTTGTGTGCCTGTGGTATCCTCTGCCTAGACTGTGACCCTCCGAGGCTCAAAGATGGACAGGCACATGTGGACAAAAACGGAGTCGCACGGTTTTTCTGCAACGACGGCTATTGGCTTTTGGGCAAAACGTATGGCAGCTGCGTGGATGGAGTCTGGCAGTGGGACAGAAGGTGTTTTGCATACCGTAAGTCTGATTTCCAGAGAGCTTCGTCACCACCCCGAGGCTATAGGTATTGTTGAGTACAGGAGCATTCTGGAACATCCGGACCATATTATGTAGTTTTGAGCTATGCTGTTCATTAACCCTTTCCATGCCATGGACGCGTATTCGGTTTTTTTTTAGTATGATCCGATTAGCCATGGACGCGTTTACGCGTTCTGCCTACACTGTACAATGTACACAGTACAGTACATGTGTATCGCGCGCTATACGAGTGTACAAACTGTCATAACCCCGTCAAAATATCTCGAACTGCTAAGGTTGAGACACCGCTGGAAAGGTCTTGAGCTCAGCTTTCCAGGGATATACAGTTCTTCGCGATACGACAAGGTATGACCGAGCTGCGATAAATTGAACGGCCAGAATGCGCAAATTTCATTTTTTGGTGATCAATTCAATTTTTTGTTTCGCGACTTCGTGCGGGCTAAGGGATTTCCCCTAGACATAGCGCGTGCGCAGTCTGCTGCAACAAACGCGCTCAAATCTCAGCTTTCCAATGCAGTTTGAATCGAGAGACTCAGTTCACAATGAGCAAGAAGACGAAAGAAAACATGAGAGGCAGTCGTTTTGTTATTTTCAGGCATGGTAGGGGGACTTTGAGAGGAGATGGAAGTGGCCCTGGTATGCCTGTTGCGCTGTGAGTCCCTGAAATGGCTTCCTGTTGTCCAGATCTTTCCAACAAGCCATGGATCGTGAAAATCCATCAAGGTACAGTGAAATAGCAATAAATTTCGTTCTGATGGGCGCGTACAGCTTTGAACAAAATGAACTCAGCGCCTGAACAATGCGTGGCCAACACAGGAAAACATGCTGGCATGGAATGGATTAACCTTCCACTCTTCGCTATCTCCGCCCTACAGCCTCCTATTGTAATGAAGCCCCCTTCAATTTAGACTATGTCTCTGGGAAATCCTCAAATACATAGTAATATAATATAGAAATTATAATATTAAAAAGAAACACTCCATTGCAATGTGGATTCAAATGCATTTAGAAAACCCATCACAGGTCCTGTGTGTTAATTCCCATCGAGCCTGTATGCGTGTGCTCAACCTAGCATCATTGACCAGGTGGAACCCATTTCCCAAACACCGTTTCCATTGTGCGGGACTGGAGAGTAGAGTTCGAAGCAATTTGAATGTATCCTGCGGCTTCACCAGTAGAAAGTAGTCGGGCACCAAATTGATTGAGAATGGCCACTCCAATTCGTACCGTACGTTCGAGCAATATCGACGCTGTCAGATACAATGGAATCAGTGATGCCTTGCGGGCAGTGGAAGGTACTCTATGGCAGTAGCTGACTGCTGACAAAGGAACAAAACATGACAGCCTTATCTTGGCCCACCTGACAAACATTCGGGCACTGTGAAAAGTGATGCCAGTGAGAGAAGCCAGGGAGTGTGACAACACTTCTCTAGCAGAATTTAACACGCCGATGCGACACTTGCCCACATCAGGGCGTAAGCGATCTTTTCGTTAATGCTAGAACGGGTATAGCAACTAGTAAGCCAGACTTAGGAAATCGGAAATTTGGCCGTGTCCTAGGATATGTGGGGTACAAATTAAAGTTAATGTTTGGGCAGTAGGATAAGTAGTGTGAAATTAGAGTTCCATTTCGTCTGAGCAAAAACCAGCCAAGCTTGTCTGTCGATGCCAACTCGAAAAGGCTGATAATATAATTAGCGGTCAAGTGCATAATGCTCTTGATTGCCTCAGAATTGCAAGAAATGTTTGCGGCAGATCTTCACTATCTACCTTAATAATAATAATAATAATATGGCATGTGTGATCCTGCGGCAGTATGGAGTGTACCCTCCTCAAACGGAGCCGAAAGCCTCACTTTTTGCGCACCTCCAGTGGCCCAGCCTCGCATGGCGATGACACATTCAGTGCCTTCTTGAGCTCCACCACCTTGTCAATAGCTAGATGACGACCCTGGAGGACCTAGGCTACTCAGTGTCAAACAGCGCCGGGCACCCCCAAAATCTACTCCCACCTGCTAGAGCCAGCACACCCACCCACCACCTTTCTCTTTGTCACCACTGCCACAGGAAACTCCCTCCCGGCTTCCCTTCGTACTGTATCCAGCCCAAAATGTTTTACCGCTCTTGTCCGCACACAGTTTGCTATCACCCGTTATGAGCCCTCTGGTTTCATTCCACGTAGAGTAGCGATGTCATAGAGCACTGTGTTATATTACTACCACCAGGCATCATTCTATTTCCTATTTTCATTTTTCTCCTCAGCTTCTTCTTCATAAGCTGTTGACGGAGACTCCCTCGATTTAGGCTAAGGCCTGTGGAGAATCCATTAAGATACAAAAATACAAAATATCGTTAAAGCCGGGCTTTTTTCTGTAGAAGCCAACGTCAGAGCTAGGCTCCTACTCACATCAGGCGTCTATTCCAACCAGGTATTTCTGTGTATGACAACACTGAAACCAGGCTTACCGTAAAGTCTTGTATAAAAGCCGCGTCTTCTTCTATGACTATTTTGGTGAACATTTTCAGGCTTCTGTACAAGACATGTATTTCTATGTATGTCAACACTAAAACCAGGCTTTTGTGTGGGTTGATGGGCCCGAAGTTGCGGCTTGTATTCAAGGTGGGGGGGGGGGGGGTGGGGCTTCCATTCAAGTGTGGCTTTTATACACGACTTTACGGTATGTGCCGACAGTGTATCTTGAAAATCAGGGTTCTATTCAAAACAGACTTCTATAAAAGATAAGCTATGAAAAAAGACGTTACGGTATTTCCGATGTTTAATATTCACTTTACTAACCATCGGTCCACTGCCATGTTGTGTTGGCTATCTCTCTTTTTCTCCTTTCTATCCAGGTCGCGGTTACTATTTACAGAAAGGAATACTAGATGACCACACTAAAGGTAAGTGTGCTTTTTGGCCTGGCCCACTAGACACGCACATCCTCAGAGCTGCGACAAGGCAAACGGCTACTTTTGTTGCAGCTCTGAGTTTCGTGCTATGCAATTGTTAGCTCCCGGCTCAACGCAGTCCCCTGACACCCTTAGAACACTGGGTTTCGTAGTATTGAATAATTATATGGAAGAATTATTCAGACCAGAAAGTAGACGAGAGAGAGAAGAATTAAGACAAGAGAAGCACTGGAGTACGCACTCTTCTGTACTTGACAGGATCTCATTGCCATGGTGAAGGCGAGGGGGAAATACGCATAGTGAGTATTGTACTTTCTTAGCATACCGTATTATCTCTAATAAAAGCACAGTCTCCAATAATAGCACGTCTCCAATAATAGAACACCCTGGGGCGGCATTCAAAAAATAAATTGCTCAGTCTCCATTCTAAGCACACTGTCTATCGGTACCTGGTAAAATGCATGTACCGTGTAATGTCTAAAATGCAGTACCGGCGAAAAAACCCTGAAATGTGTGTGTCTTTACATGAATTTGGCATGGCAACATGCCTCTGAAATGGGGTTGAAATAATAATGGAACAGTCTCCAATAAAGGAACGTCTCCATTAATAGCACGGAGCGTAGGTACATTGAAAAAAAAAGGACCGTGCTTATATTAGAGATAATACGGTAAATACACCCTATTACACTAGCATGATAGTCATCTGTATTCTTTCACCCTACCTACTACATGTAATGCCAACCCAGCACGCACACCCCCACACACACACACGCACACGCACGCACGCACGCACACACACACACATACACATACACATACACATACACCTCAGACCTCAGACAGACCTCAGACATGCCCATCGCGGAAGAGATGATAGCGAACAGCTATGTTAGACATAGCAACTTGTGCTGGGATTACACCATTCAACAGCTTGCAAGGCTGATGAATTGACCGCCACTATTTTTAGCCTGGTATCCACCACACAGCTTTTTGAAGTGACTTTTTCTGGCCAGTGAATTCCTATTTTTAATTTTTTTTATTTTTACACACGTACACCACACCACATACTTCGGCATACACTGGCTGTTGGTAACCACCCAGGAGAATGAAAGAAAAGTCAGGAAGAGTCCGAGAAATAGAAGAAAGACGTGTGCGACCATAATCGTCGGGAATTGAACCCGCAACCTCTCGATTGGAAATCGACTGCACATACCACTGCACCATATGGGACACACACACATACACACACACACACACACACACACACACACACACACACACACACACACACACACACACACACACACACACACACACACACACACACACACACACACACACACACATGCACGCACGCACACACGCACACACACACACATACATACACATACACCCACACACACACACACACACACACACACACACACACACACACACACACACACACACACACACACACACACACACACACACACACACACACAAGGTATAGTAGCAATGCGGAGCACCCTCAGCACATTGCGAGCATGCACAAGTGTATTAGTGGCGCACACAATTTTGTGTAAAGTACTGCTGGGCGCCGAAAAGCGGGTTGCCATGGCACGGCCAGGCTAGTAATTTTAACAGTTACAGCATACAGATGTAAACACGAGGACTCGGCTGTGCATAGACTGTACTACATGAAAAATAAGAAAGGTCTAGGTTAGGAGGCTGCCCCCCCCCCCCTCTCTCTCCCCCCAGCCCCGTTCTTAACGATAGGACTGCAAGCAAATGTCTGTTAATTTTATTTGTTTAGAGCAAAGGTAATTCTGTCTTCTCCTCATATCAAGAACCTTTGGTTCCAACTAGGAACGATTTTTTTGTAAGAGAACAGAAACACAAAAGAGGAAGCATTGCATGAGAATTCCAAAGTTGATTTCAAATGTGTGTGTACATGAATTATTCTTGTGATGCCGCTGTGTGACTGCAGATGCATGGCAGTCCGAAGGCACACACGTAGTGCAGAATACATAGAGATAGTGTTCAGTAAGGTGCTTGGGGGATAGGGTGGGAGGGAGGACATTATGTGGTGGTCCTTTAGTGGGTCAAGTTCTTTTGAGAAGGAATGTCGAGTGTTAGAGGGCTGATTGGAAGGGAGGGGTCGAGTCGGAAAGTTGGGAGAAAAACGGAATGTGCGAGGGGATTTGTTACTACAGATCAATTTCTTCAGCCTTTGCTGTCTTTGGTTTGCTCCAGATGAGTTGCTCGACGCCATAGGCATTTTCAGACGTAAGTTTATATCATCTCAATCGATATTATTCATTCTATAATACTATTGTCTGTGCACGTTTTCTTCGCGTAAATGCACCACGTCCATCTTCAAATGTCTTCTTTGCAGTGGCGTCTGAGAACATAATTATAACCTCTAAATTTCCACTTTTGCAACCCAGTTTGCTCCCATATTAGGCGGACTTAACGTTGCTGCATAACACTGACACTTATCCTTCTTCTGGATTGCCTCGTTTTCTCTCAGAGCCTCATCATGGATGTGGCAGAGCAAACATCAGGAATGGACATTTGCCAGCAGCACGTATTAGACAACTGGCGACGCCTGTCTGCAACAGAGGCTACAGGCCCACTAACAAAGTTTGGTGTCACTACCTAGGCTACTGGTCCTTTACGGAACCGGGCTGTGAACGTAAGTGAAGGACGGATATTGTTATTGAGCGTTGAGTGTGATTCGACAGTGGCCACCGATTATTAAATCTTTTTCAGCACTCTCGGCGCTGCTGCCCGTGTCGCCACTTAGTACCATCGTCCGGGCTGCCTCCGCTTATGGCTTCTCATGTGGACGAAAGCTAGCCTTTTTTAAACTGTGTCTTATTTGTTATGGACTATGGCAGACTGCGGAGTATCTCTGGAGACCCAGCTCGCAAAAATTCAAGTCGTTTGTGCTGCAAGAGCTCGTCTGTTTCGCTCTCTTTCTGGCGGGATTATTTTTCAGGTGCTACGCAGAGCACAAACGTGTCCACAGTGGCTGAACGCTCCTGCGTTGATATCTCGGGTGCCTGGTGTACAGACTACAGAGGAGACGCCAACAAAATATTATTATTGTAGCCACCAAGAATATGGCACTTTGAAAGCGATAGCACAAGAAGTCTCGTTGCTAAGGGATGGCCGAGAAGTCTCGTTGCTAAGCAATATCAGGAGAAGTCTTGTAGCTAAGCGATAGCACGAGAAGTCTTGTTGCTTTGATCATAGTGATTAAATTATGAAATCGCTTCGGCTTCTCCCTCATATAGTGCTTTTTAATTAAAATTTTCGCCGGGACCCGGTTCTTGCTGGCTGTACTTCCTACCTTATGTCAGCGCCTTTAAAGCCATGGTCAGTTATTTCGAAACGCCGCTGCTTTCCTAGCTATTTCAGGTGCAAATCTACCCCCCCCCCCCCACACACACTAAGCCATGCCATGAAAGTCAAAGTCACCAGAGAAAATTCAATCTAAATCCACTAGCTCACCCTTCGTGCCGGGCTGTAAGTTTGTTAGTATGGCACGTATACCTCAATTTTACAAAAAAAATTTCGCGGTTCGCGTGAGACTCGGTTTCTCTATATAGAGGCCGAGTTTTCCGCATCCGTAGGAACGCCACCACCCTTCAAGGATCAAGGCGCAGATGCAGCTCCTAAAGCTCCTGAAGCGGTGGTGGTTTTGTCAATTTTACAAAATGTCATTTCACTTATGAAGCCCATGGCTTTGCAACTGAGACTTGCTGCACCAAAAACACAGCCCAGGAGCAAGGGCAAACAAGTGGATTTAGCTCGGGTAATAGAGAGGTTCCGCATAACGTAATTACGTTAGTAAAAAACGTAGTCGATCTACGGAAAGTCTTACGTAAACTGCATCCGCATCTGTGTTCCGCCATACGGAGTTTTCAAATCACGTAGCTGCCCTTGGCAACTCCGAACGCGGCAGTGTACGACCAGATCGACCTGGGGAGAGAGTCATAAATTTGTACCCAATCCAATGACAGACCAGCTACATTATCAGATCCCTATCTACGTACTCTACGCATACAACGTTCCGTAAGTGGAGTGCAAACTCGCGAAATCACGGGTTTTCCCCGCCCACTAACGTAAAATTGCTCAACTTTACGTAGTGCGGAACCTCTCTACTGAGCCAATAAATATAAATTAAAAAAGTCGTTTCCATGTGATTTCTTCTATTTTAAGTGGATTTATATTGAAATCTCTGGGTGGACTTTGGCTTTTGAGGCATGGCATAGTAAGTGAGTCTTTTTTGTCTAAAATAGCTAGGAAAGCAGCAGTGTTTCGAGTATAAGGCCATGGCTTTAAATGCGCTTATTCAAGCAACTCATCTAGTAGCAACTCATCTCTCTGGAAACATTGTCAAGGAACAAAAGTCTCTCGCTTGGTGTGGTGTACCCTCACCACATGTCGAATGCCAAGGTGTACGCCTCAACGCGACAAGACTACCTGTCGCAGACGTCGGTTGCTCTGGCTGGGCCATGTTGTTCGCGAAGGACGTAACTCAGCGTCCTACCAAGCACTGGAGATGGCAATTAACACCCGGGACATCAAGTGCCCACGTGGCCGACCCCATCTCAGATGGATTGACAATATTAAAAATGATCTAAAGCACGCCAATATTGATATTTCTGACTGTTTTGAACTGGCTCTAGACAAGAAAAAATGGCTGATGCTTGTGGAAAAATGTGCTGCGCTTGCGTAGTTGTTCTTACTGCCATGGCCAGCAATAGAGGACATCTGAGAGTTGTAATTTTTGTACTCCTCCGAGGTGTGATTTTTGGCGTGCTGGGCCAAGCACAAGGAAGCCATCTGCAAAAAACTGCAGAAAATGGTGTTTGTTTGATCCTTTGGTGTAATCTTTGTTTCTAGTCGAAGCTAGTTGCTGTTTGAAGCAGAAACGCTGAAATTGACTATTTTCTGCATGTACTCATACATGTACTCATGTACTCAGTCATGCAGTCTCACTCGTATTTTAGCTCTTTTTCTGGAATGGATGCTGCTCTGCGCCCCTTGGTGAACATTTCCTGCGCTCGTGGAGCAGGTGAAAAGGACCACTGGTATGTCTGGTTCCTGGTTTGAAAGTGGAGAGTCGACTTTTGTGCCTTGAAAAAGGAGTAGAGAGCGATAAAGGTACATCTGTGGCTTTTTTTTGAGTGCTCCTCGTACATTTTTGATCATGATAGAAATTCTCAGACCAAAATCAGACCAAAGTCAGCGCGATGATGGCCGTACAGTTATCTTGTGGATTTTTTAGTTGTTTCATCTCGTATCTATGTCAGTATCGTGATGGTGAAGTGGAGAGGGTGATTTTCTTCCTCTAGGCTTCGTTCGGCCGACTTTGCTTCGTCCTCGTTGAAAAGTGATCCTGAAAAAAAGGTCGATTCGCAAAATTATGTTGATTTAGAATGTACGTGATGACATGCGATTGCTGGCTATGCGATGCGTTCTAACAATAATGAGATGCCTTTTGTCGGCTCTTCTGCCTGGATTTCGTTGACAGATGCGTTAAGCCCATGGATCTTTCCATGAGTGACAGGCGAACTGTAACTATTATTATTATTATTATTATTTTGACTGGTTTGAGGGAAAGAGACAAACAGGAAAAGTCTGAGGAAAAAATTGACTATTCTTAATATTATTTAAGTGCGCTGACATACGGCAAGAATCTTTGCAGCTTCATTCATGATTTCGAAACTCAAGTTCAGAAGGTTTTCTATCTGTGCATGTGTCCGGGTGTGCGTGCGGGTGTGCGTGCGGGTGTGCGTGTGTGTGCGTGTGTGTGTGCGTGTGTGTGCGTGCGGGTGTGCGTGTGTGTGTGCGTGCGGGTGTGGGTGTGTGTGCGCGCGGGTGTACGTGTGTGTGCGTGCGTGTGTGCGTGTGTGTGTGTGCGCGTGTGTGTGTGTGTGTGTGTGTGTGTGTGTGTGTGTGTGTGTGTGTGTGTGTGTCTGTCTGTGTGTGTGTGCGTATGTGGGTTTGTGTGTGTATGTGTGTATGTGTGTGTGTATGTGTGTGTGTGTGTGTGTGTGTGTGTGTGTATGTGTGTATGTGGGTATGTGGGTATGTGTGTATATGTGTGTATGTGTGTATGTGTGTATGTGTGTATGTGTGTGTATGTGTGTATGCATATGGGTGTGTATGCATATGGGTGTGTATGTGTGTATATATTTGTGTGTATATATTTGTGTGTGTGTGTACCTGTGTGTGTATATGTATGTGTGTGTGTGTGTGTGTGTGTGTGTGTGTGTGTTCTGCAATCTGCCCACCTTTACCCGACAGTGGATCAGACAAGTAAGTAAATATATATATTTTTAAAATTCTCTCCGGTACAAAACTCTCTCGCAATCTAATTTTGTACGGGCACGACATGGTAATTAACCCACTCATGAACGAGGCGCGAACATCCAGTTTGCAATCTCTCTGT